CGTTTTGACGAACGAAAAGTTGGTAATGATGATGCTTTGCTAGACCTTGAAAAGAAAAAGAATTTTGTTATTTTATCTGATTCATTATAAGATATATTTGGTCAGTTAGTCTTTTTTCAATAGATCACTATTTAAAGTATACTCATTTACTTTTCTTGTTGTTGTTGTTCACCAGTAGTTCCATTTATAATCAGCGTTACATCATTTATATTAACTTCATTATCATGTATTTCAGTTACTGAATTTATTGTTCGTTTTTGTATATGTTTACTGTTTTCTTTAATATATTCATCAAGAATTGATTGAAGTAATTTTATTTTTGAACGATTATCTGAACAAACACGTTTTATTAATTGTTGTAGTAATTCTTTTGATGGCAATGAACATTCATCAAGTAATAATGCAATAACAGTTGCACCTAATGGATCATGAATTGGTATACGTTCAATTAATGTTATCATAACTTCTAACCATCGATCTTCTCGATTAGCAATACGTGATACAACTAACATAGCATGTGGTGGATCTTGATCTGCATCAATAACAGTACGAATTATTGAAAGTGTTTCATCAATAAGTGCATTTAAATTATATGGTTGAAATGAACGAATTGTTCGAAAACGATTTGGTAATAAATTTCGATGATATGAACGTGAAACATTATCAAATGATGATGATGATGTTAAACTTGTTCTTGGATGAGAATGATGTTGCTGTGATTCATGTTGTTGTTGTTGTTGTTGTTGAACACAATTTGTACAATTACCCATTGAATATTATCTACAAATATTCATACTCATTTTGTTTCAACTCACAAAAAACGAAAAGAAAAAGAAGAAGACATAGATACAAATTTAAAAAAAGAAAAAGAAAACACAAACAGATACGCTCACCGGGTAGAGCCAATGAAAAAAAGAAAACAAATGTTAACAAAGGACGGCGATAGAATTAGAATTTATTTTTGTTATTTTTATACTGTTCTTTTGTTGTTGTTGTTTTTTTGAGATTTATTTCACATTGATATGCTTGATAATAATAAAAAAATAGAGCACCGAAGATAAGAAATAGATGTAATTTGAATACTTAATCTGAATTAATTTCCTGTTCGTTTGATACATGACTTTGATAAGATCGTGAACATAATATTGAATGAACATCAGAAGAATTTGAACGATTATTTATTAATTTTTTTCGTCTTAAAGATCTTGATCGATTAATATTGCATTTGATTGTATCTGATGTTTGATTATGTTGATTATTTGTATTTAAATGAGAAGAACATGGTGGTTCAGGTGTTTGTGGTGTATCATTCAATGATGAAGATTTTGATGATCGTGAAAAAATGTCGGATGGAGATATTGTTGGTGATGGTGTATTACTTATACTACTACCATATAACAAACGACGTCTTATGGGCGGATTACGAAGAACTATTTGAAGTGGTGCAGATGGACGACGGGATGATGAGGATATGGTGGACGGTGGTGCAAGTTTTGTAGCTAATGATGAAACTATAATAGAAAAAAATTTTCAATACGAATTTCGATAATTCAACTTTTCGAAAGATATACATGAATCGATTTTAATCGCAGTTATTATAATCTTTTCAATTGAATACAAAAAAACATGTTTTATATATTACTAGATAAACAAATGGATTTTATTGGGTAAAAAATTTGATTACTCATATATTGCATTAGTAAAGCTTTTGTTATTTTTCGTGATTCTCACCTAAAGGCATATTTTTTCACTGCTGAAAGTGGTCTGCAAACTTTTAACTGCAGGTGCCTCAGGAAACTTAACTTGATTGCAGCAATAATGTACCTTAATATCACCTTGATCTGTGCTGGAATAGTATCGAATCCATCTTTTTACATTCATATTTGTCTTTCACTCAATCGAATTTACGGCTGACTTTCTTTTCTGAGCATTCTCCAAGTCCATTTTCATATTGTTGCGTCTCTATAAAGTTTACCATTTGTTAACTGAAGATGGATTTATTTGATCAACAACGTATGGCTTTATCTTTTAAATGGTAATTTTATATATATATGATCGAGACGGAAGAAAAACAAAAGTAGTGAGTAAGAAATATTAGTAATAAGAAAGAAAATACTATTTGCAAAATAACCTTAAAAGGAGAGAAAAAAAGAATTCGAAATATCAATAAATCACACTAATACCATTTTTATTTTACCTTATTCACACATACTTATCTAATTTATTTTATCTTAGCTATCAAACTTAGTAAATAAATAATATCCCCAAAGTAGTCATTATATTCGATTATTAACAGCCTTATGTATTATTTGTAACTTCGATTGCAAAAGTCTTCGTACAAAACATTCGCGTATTTTGCAGTTAGTAAAACTTAGAAATTCTGTATCGATTTTTGTCTCTGATGAATTCTAAGTGATCGAATATTTCGTACAAAGACTTTTGCAACAGGAGTTCTTCTATATTTCAATTCACACAATAATGGATATGTCGAAAAGTCTCTATGTAGATTTCTTCTTCGTAAGTAAAAGCAATTCTTTCTTTTTCTAAATATATATTCAAAATTTGACAAATATGTATATATTCTGTAGAAAAAAAACTTAATATTACATTAAAATTTTCATTAGGCTTCAATCTTTTAAAAAATTACATGTTTGATTTTCGTCGTTGTTTTCTGTTGAATATAATGAAATATTTCCATTTGCTTTCATCATAAATAAAAACATTTTATAAACAAAGAAATATTGCTTCTATGAAAATATTATAGACAATAAAATAAATTTAAAAAAAATATCTTTTTTTTACAAGAGTTTGAATTAATGCTATACG